GACCTCTTTCCCTGAATCCTTCCTGCCTCCTTGAAATTCCACTGCCTCCTGGTCACGGCGACCGCTTGGTGGTGTCCTGCTGGTCTGCCTCTGGTTAAAGCAGGGAGATGTGTGTTCTCTCCAGTCCACACATGCTCCCCTACAGTTTCCCTTTGAGGCCTAGGAGGTGCCAACTCTGCAGGACCCTCCAACATCACCAGGCCCGCCCCGCCCCAGTGTTTACAACTCCTGTGCCCAGCAGGATGAACCTGCAGTGAATAGTGAATCATACCCTCCCCTCGTTCCTGCAGGTGTGAGGCTAGAGTCATCCCCCGCAGCTGGACACATAACATTCTGAATTACTATCCTGCTGGAAATAACATGATGGTCTTATAAAAGGGAACCCAGATAATTCATTTATCCCCTTTCTGGTGTTTCCCACCCATCCACACATTTTTTCTTCAGACTTTATAAACCATTCATGCTGTGCTATTGCAACACGTTTCCTAGGGTGCCTCCAATTTCACGTTAGTGCCAGACCCAGTGCTGAGGCCTTTGCCTGCAATTTCCAGTCCTCTCAGCAAGCCCTGGAGGTAGTCTTGTTACCATCCCTACCATTAAAGCTGGAGAAACTGGCTGAGGATAAGCCAGTTCCCAGAATAATCAGGGGTGAAGCCTGAGGTTGGCCCCATATGCCCAGCTGTATTTCCAGTCACATGATTTCTCAGAATCAGTTGTAAAGTGAGATTTATTTGAAACTATTCTATATCATATGCCAGACATTGTTGGAGGTTCTGGGACTATAGGGTGGCCAAGATCATTACTTTCCCATTGTTGGTGAAAAAGACCTAGATTTCCTGTCATAACGATGTCTGAGTAGTGTTCTCAATTTGAGGGAGGTATTCATTGAAGGGAGAGTCATTCAGTGATAGCTTCCCTGAGGGGTTTGTAGGCATTTGACGCTGGGTATGAGGGCTTTAGGTGTTAGCTGTCCTATTCCAGGTAGAGTCCCTCCAAAATGAAGACGCACTGTCTCTAAAATGATGGTGCAAGTTAGTTGAAATTTTTTTCCATCCCCACTGCAAAAAACTAAAAGTGGTCTTAGCATTATATACTTGTGGGGTACTTGTGAGAGAGAAAAGCCCCAGTGATGGGTAACATCATTGGCTGTTTACCCTGGACGAGCACCGTGAGATATAATGGCAGCTCAGCACTCAAAGCCTTTCTTTTTCCAAAACAAATGCTCATCAGAAATGTGCCAAGTTATTTTGTGGGCTTCCCTTGGAGCACGTTTATGTACAGATGTTGTTGTGATGGAGTTTGCTGCTGTTGTTGACGGCCCTTAGAAGTTGCCCTGAGGATTTTGACTCATTTCCTCAAGTCTCCCCCAGCTGATTAAAGAAGGACACCAGGAAATGAGCCGTGGTGTCCTGAGCGGGAATTCTTGAAGCTGGACTGCAGTGCAGGGACCCTTCAAAGGCAGCGGTCAAGGCTGCAGCGGCATTTTCTCCAGAATGAATTTAGTTTAAACAGCTGATAGGCTAGGGAAGTGCTTAATGTTGCTTCATTCACATATGGGAACTTTTTTTAAAAAGGGACTGAAGGACGTTTGAAGAAATCCTAAGCATGCAAAATTTCACCTGCAGTCTCTATAACTTGAATAGATATTTTTGTGGCTGCAAATCCAGAGTGAAGAGGACCTGCAAGGGAGTCACCAAAGGTAAAAGTTTGAATCTAGGCCGAATCCAGTGTAAATCTTTGTTGAAAGCAGAGAGGACTTGTGAGGAAGCCAAGCCTGGCAGCTCTTAGTCTCTGACATTTTGGACCCGAGACAGCCCGTCTTTTGACTTCAGACTCTTAATTGCAAACTCATAGCCCTTGCTTGGATGTGTTTCGTTTGGCCCACATGATGCTTTTTTAGAAAACATTGGGGCAGTATTTAAAATACGGAGAATTTATATCAAGATCTAGGTTTCTTTATTCTCTCGAAGAATCGAAAACTCCCTGTCTTTAGATGGGACCTCTACTCTTTCCATTGCTCTAGACAGTACCACTCTATACTGCCAGTCGGGCTTTTAGGCATTTAGCCTTGGGTCCCGGTGAGCACAGGTGGGACCACGCCGGTACCTAGTGGAAGGAGCACAGGCCTAAGGAATGAAAACAGCCTTGTATTAGTCTGCTGGCTCCATGACTGACAGCTTTGTGAGCTCGGAACAGATTGCTTACCCTTGCTGAGCTTCACTCTTTCATCCTAGTTTTAGCTGTGTGACTTTGGGAAAATTACTTAACCTCTCTGTGCCAGTAAATGTGTGGCTACATATAAAGTTTTTAGAATGGTACTGCCTGGCACGCTCATGGTATAAGCTCAACACATGTCAAGCTCTGTACATATTTATTATCTGTAAATTAGGAATTATTGCTGTCCCTAAACTGGGAATAATGCCTTCTCTAATATGATTACTCTAAAGATTAGAAACAGATTCTTGTAAAGATACTTGGCACAGGGTCTGGGATGGCATAGGCACCTAACAAATGAAGAAATTCCATGAGTATGTAGAATCTGACTATTTCGCTTTATAATCCTTGCACGCAGATACCAATAGGTACTAACTTGATAGCTTTTAAAATGAAATAAACTTTAATTTTTCTCTTGAGTTTTACATAGCTTTTGACAAAACAGTTGGGAATCACTAGTGTTAAAGAGTGAACAGATCTTGGACTATTTTTTCCCCCGGGGGGGGGGAAGAAAACCCAGAAGATGTTTTTTTTAACATCTTTATTGGAGTATAATTGCTTTACAATGTTGTGTTAGTTTCTGCTGTATAACAAAGTGAACCAGCTATATGTATACATATATCCCCCAGAAGATTTCTCTAGTGAAAACATTCATACCTTCTGATTTTTCCATTCATCTTATGCTTTAGCCTTAATGCTTACATTTTGGTTATGAAATGTGTTGGTTAGGTATT